ACATCAGGAAGGAAGAATAATAGAATAAGTAAAAATGTAAGTACATAGACTTTCCTTCTCCTCTTGAGTTGTCTAATTTTGGTTTGATGGTTGAAGCAATAAGTATAACATCATCTGATGTGGAGTTCAATATATGTAGAGGAAATACTTAAGATAACCATACTATAAATGGGACAGGAGAAAGAGACTTAAAGGGAGGTAAGGTTTCAATACTTCCCTCAACCTGATGAAATTATGACATTACTAAATCTTGTGGTGACAAAATAGTATCTTGATTGCAGTGGTTGTTACAGGAATCTCCACAGGTGATAAAATGGCATAGAATTATGCACACATTGTACCAGTGTCAATTGCCTGGTTTTGATATCCTATATAATAAAAGGGTAATATGCAAATTGACCCTAACAGCGGAACAACTGGTTGTTATGACATGCACTGACCACCAGGGGCAGACACTCAATGTAGGAGCTGCCCCTTGGTGGTCAGTGTGCTTCCACAGGGGGAGTGCCACTTAGCCAGAAGCCAGCTCATGGCTGGCCAGTGCAGCGGCGGTGCCGGGAGGCTCTTCCCGCCTCCGCAGCAGCGCTAAGGATGTCCAACTGAGAGCGGGCCTAAGCCGTCAGTTGGACATCCCCTGAGGGCTCCTGAACTGCAAGAAGGCATAGGCCGGGCTGAGGGACCACCCCCCCCCCACACACACACACACACCACCACCACAGTGCATGAATTTTCATGCACGGGGCCTCTAGTTGTACTATAACTAAGTAAGTAAGATGTAATCATTGAGGGAAGCTGGGTGAAGGTTACACACATCCTCTCTGTACTATCTATGCAACTTCCTTACAAATCTATAATTATTTCAAAATAAAGCTTTTTTAAAAAAAATTGGGGCTGTTATACATTAAAAGTGGCTAAAGATACAAATGCAATGTGAGAAACTTACTTAGATTCTTAATGTTAAAAATATAAAAGGCAAGTGGGGGAAATTTGAATATAGAACTGGACATTATATGATATTAGAGTATATGAAATATTGTTAATTTTCTTTGATGGCATAATAATATTGTGGTATGTAGAAGAAGGTCTTTATTCTTACAACATGTCTGCTGGAGTATTTAGAGAAGTGAAATGAAATCTGTAACTTACATTTGAATGGTTCAGAAAAAAGTGTAGGTAGATTCATAGAGCAAATGTCACAAGACATTATTTCAACATTTCTTTTTTATTGAATTTATGGGGGTGACGTTGGTTAGTAAAAGTATACAGTTTTCAGGTATACAATTCTACAATACATCATCTGTGTATTGTATTGTGTGTTTTCCACCCCAAGTCAAGTCTCCTTCCATCACTATTTATCCCCCCTTTACCTTCTACCTCTTCCCCCACTCTGGCAATTACCATATTGTTGTCTGTATCCACGAGCCTTTTTTTTTTCTTTGCTTAATCCGTTCACCCTTCTTACCCAGCCCCCAACCCCCTCCCCTCTGACAGCTGTCAGTCTTTCTCTGTATCCATGAATCTACCTCCACTTTGTTAATGTATTTATTTTTAAAATTTGTATTTATTGTGGAAAATATTACAGATATCCTCCTTTCCCCCATTGACCCCCTTCTTCCCCTTCTGCCCCCTCCCCAGGCCTTCACCGCACTATTGTCTGTGTCCTTGGGTTATGCATATATGCATATAAGTTCTTTAGCTAATCTCCTCTTGACCTCCCCCCGCCCCTTCCCTCTGAGAATCATCAGTTTGATGCATGCTTCCATGTCTCTGGATCTATTTTGTTTTTCAGTTTATTTTGTTCATTACATTCCACGTATAAGTGAGATTGTGTGATATTTGTCTTTCTCTGACTGGCTTATTTTGCTTAGCATAATAGTCTCCAGGTCCATCTATGCTGTCACAAAAGGTAAGATTTCCTTCTTTTTTATGGCCGAATATAATTCCATTGTGTAAATGTCCCACAGCTTTTTTTATCCACTCATTTATTCTGATGGGCACTTGGGCTGTTTCCAGACCTTGGCTATTGTAAATAATGTTGCAATGAACATAGAGGTGAATATATTCTTTCAAATTAGTGTTTCAGGTTTCTTCAGTTATATTCCTAGAAGTGGAATTGCTGGGTCATAATTCAGTTCCATTTTTAATTTTTTGAGGAAACGTCATACTGTTTTCCACAGTGGCTGCACCATTCTGCCTTCCCACAAACAGTGCACTGCCTTCCCACAAACTGCACTGATTAAGGTTTCTTCTTCTCCACAACCTCACCAACACATGTTTGTTGGTTTATTTATTTATTTATTTATATTGTGAAACCTTGTAATATACTTTATTATTTATTTTTTTTCCAGTTCAATCAGTTGGCTTTTTATTTATTTTTTATTTTTTAATTGTTTTATTGCTTAAAGTTTCACAAAGAGTATTATATATGTCTCCTTTTTTTTTCTCCCCTTGACCCTCCCCTAGCCTCCCATGCCCCCCAGTGTCTTGTGTCCATTGGTTATGCTCGTATGCATGCATACAAGTCCTTCGGTTGATCTCTTAACCCCCCTCCCACCCCCCCAACCCTCCTCAGCCTTCCCGCTGTAGTTTGACAGTCTGTTCAATGTTGCTCTGCCTCTGTATCTATTTTTGCTCATCAGTTTATAATGGTCTTAATTATCCATAAATGAGTGAGATCATGTGGTATTTTTCTTTCATTGACTGGCTTATTTCACTTAGCATAATGCTCTCCAGTTCCATCCATGCTGTCGCAAATGGTAAGAATTCCTTCTTTTTTACAGCAGCATAGTATTCTATTGTGTAGATGTACCACAGTTTTCTAATCCATTCATCTGCTGATGGGCACTTAGGCTGTTTCCAGATCTTAGCTATGGTGAATTGTGCTGCTATGAACATAGTGGTGCATATATCCTTTCTGATTGGTGTTTCTGATTTCTTGGGATATATTCCTAGAAGTGGGATCACTGGGTCAAATGGGAGTTCCATTTTTAACTTTTTGAGGAAGCTCCATACTGTCTTCCATAGTGGCTGCACCAGTCTGCATTCCCACCAGCAGTGCACGAGTGTTCCTTTTTCTCCACATCCTCTCCAGCACTTGTCGTTTGTTGATTTGTTGATGATAGCCATTCTGACAGGTGTGAGATGGTACCTCATTGTTGTTTTGATTTGCATCTCTCGGATGATTAGTGACTTTGAGCATGTTTTCACCAATCTGCAGGTTGTGAGGCATGAGGATGTGCTGTCACCCTCATGTCTCTTGGCTTTCTGAATGTCCTCTTTTGAAAAGTGTCTATTTAGGTCCTTTGCCCATTTTTTTAATTGGATTGTTTATCTTCCTTTTGTTAAGTTGTATGAGTTCCCTATAAATGTTGGAGATTAAACCCTTATCGGTGATAACATTGGCAAATATGTTCTCCCATGCAGTGGGCTTTCTTGTTGTTTTGTTGATGCTTTCTTTTGCTGTGCAGAAGCTTTTTATTTTGATGTAGTCCCATTTATTTTCTCTTTAGTTTCCAATGCCCTAGGAGCTGTATCAGTGAAGAAATTGCTTCGGCATATGTCTGAGATTTTGTTGCCTGTGGATTCCTCTAGTATTTTTATGGTTTCCTGTCTTACATTTAAGTCCTTTATCCATTTTGAGTTTATTTTTGTGTATGGTGTAAGTTGGTGGTCTAGTTTCATTTTTTTGCATGTATCTGTCCAATTTTCCCAACACCATTTATTGAAGAGACTGTCTTGACTCCATTGTATGTTCTTGCCTCCTTTGTCAAATATTAATTGAGCATATTGGTTCGGGCCGATTTCTGGGCTGTTGATTTATTTATGATAGCCATTCTGACAGGTGTGAGGTGATGCCTCATTGTAGTTTTAATGTATATTTCTCTGACATTTAGTGACATTGAGCATGTTTTCATATGTCTATTGGCCATCTGTAATGTCTTCTTTGGAGAAATAGCTGTTCAGGTCTTTTGCCCATTTTTTAAATTGGATTTTTTTTGGTGTTGAGTTTTATAAATTATTTATAAATTTTGGATATTAACCCCATTCAGTGAGTTATCTTTTCATTTTTCAACATTTCTGTATGTTTGCAAATTTTCATTTTAAACAAGTTGGAGAGGCTATGTGGAGGATAGATACGTGATAAAAGCAAGTGTAGTAAAATGCTAGTAAGAATCTAGACGGCAATTTGGTGTTTGCTCCCTGTAAAATTCTTTCAATTTTTCTGTATGTTTAAAATTTTTCATATTAAAAATGTGGGGGGTAGCCCTGCCTGTGTGGCTCAGTTGGTAGAGCATCGTCCTGTGCACCAGGAGGTCGCCAGTTCGATTCCCGGTTAGGTCACATGCTGGGGTTTTGTACTCAATCCCCAGTGGGGATTGTGTAGAAGGCAGCAGATTGATGTTTCTCTCATCAATATTTCTATCTCGCTCTCCCTTTCTCTCTCTGAAATTAATAAAACATATTTTTTTAAAAACATGAGGGTAAAAAACTCGAACAAAAATTATCACAACTAGCACTTCCAACCCCACTTTCTCTACCTTTTTTCACAGCACTTATCATTATATAGATTATATAATTCATTTATTTATTTTGCTAATATTTGTCTGTGTCCTCTCACTAGAATGTAAGCTTCCCAAGGACTAGCATTTGTTGTGTTTTGTTCTATTTTTTGCTGTATCCTCAAATCCCAGAACAGTGTCTAGTACATGGGAGGTGCTTGATGAATATTTGCTGAATTAAGAATGACTTTCTGTATCCCTAGGACCTAGGTCAGTGTCTTGCACAGAGTTAGTGTGCAATGATTATCTGTTGAACTGAGATCTAAGTTCTGCAGAAGAACCTTAGAATGGACCTGTTGTACTGGAGTGGTTTGGAGCATAGACTCTTGAGGCAAATGGCCAGGCTTTGCATTCTGATTCTGTCACTTCCAACTGTGGTACCTACCCGAATTAACACCTCTGAGCCTCAATTTCTCATTGATGAAATTAAGATAATAATAACCTTGGTAGGGTTTTTGTCTGCATGTGAAAAGCACTTAGGATTTTGTAAAGACTCAATACTTGGTAGCTAATGACAAAACAAGAACAGCAAAAAGATAGTCTGGACATGTCATCCTACTTCCATCCTCCAGCAGGCTGAGCCAGGAGAGGCTAAGGAGATTACCAAGTTCTTCAGACCCCTGAAATGGTTTCTCTTACTTCATATCTCTTCTTGCTTTTCCTCCTGCCCTGTATTCTCTTTCCTCTTGCACCCTGAAGCTCTTTCCCCCATCATAACCATGCGGAAATTGGGTGGAGGACACAGGAGGAGTCTGTGGGCCAGGGACAATAAGTTAGAGCTTTCTTTTCCTCCTGTTCTAGGCTTAAGTGCCTCACTGGTAATGGAAGCAGGTTAAGTGGGAGGTTACTGGCATTTCAGGGCCTAGAGATTGAGAGAACAATAGTACTGGAGAGGAGGCACTCACAGGAGAGAGGCCTCATAAGCTGCCCTCTGCCCTGATCCCCTGTTAGGAGAGAGCACTTCCCAGCATCCCTTCAGTCCGTTCTTCTACCTCAAGTCTTTATTCCTGATGGCCTCAGCTCTGAGTAAGCCCGGGGACCCATTGAGCATCTTTCTGCAACTCCCTCTTGGAAGTGGGGTGGGGTGGAGTGGGCGAAGAATGGGCTGAAATTTGGAACATGGGGGCATGAGATTGGGGGCTGAGGTCACCTATGGCCTAAGTCCTCTGCCTCAGCCGTAGGGTTGTCGGTACCCCAGTTATCTGGGGAGCTGGAGCTGAACCTGGGGGCGCCACTGCCTCTGTTTCTTTAAGGAGCTGCTGTTTAGCATTCCTGCCGCTGCCGCTGCCTGACTCTGCACGCTGATTGGCTGGAATCAACTGAGAAAGGAGCCAGGGAGAGATGCTCTTGACTCCACTCAGATCCATCCTGGGGACCAGTGCAGGAGCGGTCCTCGCAGCACCCAGCCTCTGCCCAGGCTCCTGCTTCTTCTTTGCCGCTGGGCCTAGGCCCAGGAGCCACTACGGGCGACACGGAGCCACCAGTGCTGGAGGGGGAGCCGTGGGTGCGGGGCAGCGTGGGGGCAGAGGCCCCGGGACGCCCGCCCGGCCCCAGGCCCCGCTCCGCTCGGGCGCCCCCACGGGTGCCCCCCCCTTCCTGGTCGGAGCAGTGTGAGTGTGCCCCGGGAACCCTGGCGGCGGCGGTGGAGGCGGCGGCGGCGGCCGGCGGCGGCGGCGGCGGCGGCTGGCCGCAGCGGCAGCGGCGGGCAGCGTGGAAACCCGGCGTTGGGCTGGGGGGGTTCGGGCCGCGGGGGGGCAGTGCCATGGCACAAGCACCAGCACTGCTGTAAGTGCCCCGAGTGCTAACAAGGTGACCCGCCTGGCCGCCCTGCGGCGCCTTCGAGCCTCCGGGCTACGGGGACTGGCAGGTGCCAGACCCCTATGGGCCAGGTGGGGGAAATGGAGCCAGTACGGCATATGGGGGCTACAGCTCGCAGACCCCTCCTTCGCAGGCGGGGGCCACCCCCACCCCACGCACCAAGGCCAAGCTCATCCCCACCGGCCGGGATGTGGGGCCAGTAACCCCTAAGCCAGTCCCAGGCAAGAGCACTCCCAAACTCAACGGCAGCGGCCCCAGTTGGTGGCCTGAGTGCACCTGTACCAACCGGGACTGGTATGAGCAGGTATGAACCAGTAGGGGGGGGGGACGGCGGTGGGGCAACTGGGGGGGGGCGGCTGGGGAGTGAAGGCCTAGAGGCCTGGGGTGCAGCACGGGTTCGTGGGGCTCCAAACCAGTGGACCCTAAGCCCTAGCATTGCAGCTGGGCCAGGAGAAATGGTAGGAAATGTATGCTTCACAGTGTGTGTCTGTTTGGGGGTCTCCGTTTGGAGGGGGTTGTGAGGAGCTGTGTGTGTCGGGGGGTGAAGGTATGGCGGAGGAGCACATTTTCCTGTGTGGGGAATTGGGTTTGTCTCAGTGCGGGGGCTCAGCAGTGTCTCTGTGTCTGGCAGGGGCGGGAGGTTCTGCGGGAGCTGTGTGTGGTGTGTCTCCGCGGGAGGGGAGGAGGGGGCATGGTGCTCTGCGTAGGGGGGACATGTGACATGTGTGATGTGTGATGTGTGTGTGTGTATGTTGAGGTGTGTGAAGAAAGGCAATGAAGCTCCTGTGAATCTATGTAGAGCCCATGTGCCCAGCTCGCTGAGCTTCATCCTTCCATGCCATGAGTCCCTCTCCGTCCCAGTCCCTTTGTGTGTGAATGTGCACATGGACATATGAGAATGTCTGACCGCGGAGGTGTTTCTGACGGCTGTGTTTCCCCGTGTGTGTCGTTACATGTATATGTGTGTGAGCATGTGGCTGCAAGTGTGTGCACATATGTGCCTCTGTGTCATATGTGCCTCTGTGTGTGTGTGTGTGTGTGTGTGTGTGTGTGTGTCCCTTTGAAGAGGTGCTTGACAGGCAAAGGAGGGGAAGGAGAGGAAGAGAGAGACACGTCCCAAGCAAGGCTGAGAGGATGCCGAGAAGGACAGACTCTTTTGTCCAAGCAGCTCTGAAGTGTGTGTGTGCTGGAGGGGGGACTGAAACAAGCTTCCTCGCTCCAGAACAGGCATGATGCCTGGAGCCGGGCACAGGACATCTGCTCTGGTGTAAGAACTGCCCCCAGTGGGGCATGCCCCATTAGGTACCCCCAGACGTGGGAGAACTTGGCCCCCCAGGTATGGCTTACAGCTTGGGAACCCCTGGGTGCAAGGCACAACTCTGTCTTCCACTCCCAGCCTAAACTGCCAGCTTAGAAAATGGAAGGAGCATCTGTGGGAGAAGCAGCAAAATGGAGGCTGGGCCGGCAGAGCCAGGTCCCTGGCACACATGGCGGAGGGCCTGCCTGGTTATTTGGCTCTGCAGTCCCCAGGGTAGAGAGAGAGGAGGAGGTTTTGCTGTCGAGAGCAGGTAGTGACCATTCTGGCCACCTCTGTCCTTCTCTGGGGATAGGATGTGCTCTCACTCAGAAGCAATGATGGGGACTTCCTGGGGAGAGGAGTCCTTCCTTGGTTCTGCCCTTCTGTCTGTCTACACTTACTATTTCTTGTGTCTCTTTCCTTGACCCCTTGCCTTCTCCAGCGAGTCTACCTCTCTATCCAGGGGCCCTATCCTTGCAAACACTCTCTTACGCTTGTCCTGCTCAGCTGGGAGATGGGTGACAGTTGGCAATGTTTCTTTGCTGGGGCTGATCTCTGGATGCCTTTTGGCCTTGGGAGCAGGGTCCCTGAGGGGGGCAGTGGGAGGGTGGACCAGTTGGGAGCAGGAGCCTCTGGATCTCACTGGAGCTGGGCTTGAAGCATGGCTTATAACATGTGGGCACACATGGTACCCCAGATGCATGCAAGAGCTGCATGTGCAGGTGTTCTTTTCCCTGCGTTTCTGTCGCATGGTACTTCAGGCAGCTGTGTTGGTTTGGGGACTCTGAAGAACCATCAGTTCCTCCTGGGATCAGGGACCAGAGTGGGGCTGCAGCTGGAGTCCTCCCACCAACTCCTAGAGCTGCAGGGCATAAAGTCTTGGAATCAGGTCCAGAAAAGGTAGAGGCATGACTAGCCAGTCCTCTCCTCATCTCGTCCTCTCTGCTTCTCAAAGCCAAAGGTGTGTGGGGTGAAGGTGGGAGAGAGAAGCAGAACAGGGCATATGGAGGAGCCCCCACCCTGGGTTCCCAGGTCCCCTTTTCAGAGGAGGAGATTAGGGGTAAGGCAAGAGCCAGAGAAAGATGGGGAAGGACTGTCAGGTTACCTGGGGAGAGAGGCAAGAGGGTTTCTCCATTTGGGGGGATGATGAGAGTGGGAGCCAGAAAGCAGATGCTACTTGTCTGTCCAGAATCAGATTTTTACTTGACAATGGCTACTAGTATGTGCTGTCTGGGAGGCCACCTCTGTGGGCTGGTCAGACTAACCCTGTGTTTCTGTCCCCTTCCCTTGTGTCTTCTCCCATGGCTATTGCATGTTGAAGGCCATGGACTCTGCTGCCAATCGGTCCATGGTCATCAGCTTCCCCCTCCTGGGGAATATTGTCCATTCTGCTCCTGTAGCATCCCTGGCTTTGCCTCTGACTCCCGGCCAGATCCTACCCTGGGCCTTCCTGCTGGGAAACACAAAGGGTTCCGTACTAAACACCTCTTGGTTGAAAATGGATTAGGACTTTCACTCCTTCTACCCATGTAGACTTGGGTTCCTGGGGACACATTAGGAGATGGAGAATGAGGGTTTATGAGGTACTCTGAAGAAGGCAACTTCCTTTTTTCCCATGAGCTCTGCTGGGGAAAGGGATGAGTGACCAACACATCAGTGGCCTTGGCAGCTTGCTTTAATCCAGATTCTAGTCTCTGCTCTGCCACTAACTCCCAGTGTGCCTTTAACACAATCTGTGTCCTCTCTGAGCCTCAGTGTCACCATTTATCATATAAGGGAGATTGTACAAGATGGTATCTGCTGTCTTTCTACCTCTGACACAGTGGGAGTCTGTGATCTGCACCATGGAGAGCTGTGGTTAGGAAGGCAAGCAGGTCCCTGTCCAGGTCCTGGGTACCCCCATGGATGCTGGGCATGGCTTGGTTTATCTGCCATGTTCCATTTTTGCCACCCCCCTCAGGCCAGCTCCGCACCCCTCCTAGTGAACCACAAGGCCCTGGAGCCCAGTCTCTCCTTGAGTGCACCACTGGCTGGCTCAGTCCCAGACCATTGATCTGAGCTAAATGAACAGCTGAATTTGGCATGTTATGGCTGGAAGCAAGGGGAGGAGGTGGACTCCTCAGGGTCAGCCTGTCCCCATCTGTGGCCAATAGGTGTCTGGGATCTATTTGGGCTCTTCTACTCTGTGGGGAGTGTGGAGGAGCAGGTTGACCAGGGGGCATCTGGCTGGGGGGTGTACAGAAGGCATTTAGGGAACTGCCTGTGTCTTCCCCTAGGTAAATGGCAGCGATGGCATGTTCAAGTATGAGGAGATAGTGCTGGAGCGGGTGAGTTTGTCAGTGGGATGGGATGAAAATGGAGGGGAGGGATTGAGCCAAGAGAGAGGAGGGCCTTGAACTTCACTCTTAAGACTCAGAGGGGGACCTGCATTGAGAGGATGGGGAAACAGCGGCACTCAGAGGCCACATCACTGCATCAATCAGTCAACCGACTAACAAATATTAATTGACCTTGCTTGCTGAAGCCTGGGGAACTGGGGAGGGGGTGGCTTTGCTGAGGCCTCTACGCCAAAATGATCAGCACAGGCTGGGAAGCCACCAGGTTTCTGACGAATGTGCCCTGGTCTGCCCTGGCCCCTTCTGAGGCCTGGAGCACCTGGCCTGGGGATTAGGCGAGGTTGGGGAACCAGGAACCCTTCCTCACGCCCTCTGAGTGAGCAGACTGTGCCCCTCCACTCCTTTCTGCAGGGCAATTCCGGCCTGGGCTTCAGCATCGCAGGTGGCATTGACAATCCCCATGTCCCTGATGACCCTGGCATCTTCATTACCAAGATCATTCCTGGTGGAGCAGCTGCCATGGACGGGAGGCTAGGGTGAGGTGGCCTCGAAGCAGGGCTGGGGGAGGCAGGGGGAGGATGGAGATGAGGGGAGGAGGACTGCCTGGCAGGATGGCCCTTTGGTTCAATCTGAGAGGAGGAGGGGGAAAGGAATGAGGAGGTTGGGGGAGAGGAGCAGTAGGAGGGGAGAGACGGGTGGAGGGGTCGTGTCACAGTGTCATGCCTCTTGGGCTTCCCCCACAGGGTGAATGACTGTGTGCTGCGGGTGAATGAGGTGGACGTGTCAGAGGTGGTGCACAGCCGAGCTGTGGAGGCGCTGAAGGAGGCGGGCCCTGTGGTGCGGTTGGTGGTGCGGAGGCGACAACCCCCACCTGAGACCATCATGGAGGTCAACCTGCTCAAAGGGCCCAAAGGTGTGGCCCTCTGGGTTCCTATGCTCTGGCCAGAGGTCCCTGGTTGGCTATGTAGGAAATGGAAGGGAATAGCCTTACTCCTTGCCTGATTCCCCATACCAGCTCACTGCCTTCTTTCTTGACCTCATGTTTCACCCTACTGACCTCGGGATGGCAGCCTAGTGTTTGGGATCCCCAGGGGAGTGTGTTGGCTGGGGGCAAGCGTTGGGTTTTGGATTGAATTGACTGAGCACTCTAACTTCTGTGGCCTTCTCCCACTCCCTGCTGGTTCCTGCCCAGGCCTGGGTTTCAGCATTGCTGGGGGCATTGGCAACCAGCACATCCCAGGAGACAACAGCATCTACATCACCAAGATCATTGAGGGGGGTGCTGCTCAGAAGGATGGCCGCCTACAGATCGGGGACCGGCTGCTGGCGGTGAGACAGTCTTCACAGAAATGCCCAAATGGTAGGGTGGGAAGGTGGAGCTCTAGCAGCCTCTCACTCCACCTGAACCTCATTCAGGTATTAGGCATTGTGGGGAATTTCAAGAGCATCATCAGAGTTGGGCGTATCAGATACCAAGGCCCTACTTCTTTTCATGGCTGGGAGTCCCTTAGCTGCCCTACCCCTTTCCCAGGCTTCTCTGCTCTTCACAGCACTGTCCTTGGATCTCTGTGAGAGCACTGTTGAATTTCACTGAAAGGGCCCCTCTCAGGAGTCCCTGAGATGCCCTTCCTTCTCTCAAGTGCTAGCCCGAAGGCCTCTCCTCTTCTAGGTGAACAACACCAATCTGCAGGATGTGAGGCATGAGGAAGCTGTGGCCTCACTGAAGAACACCTCTGATATGGTCTATCTGAAGGTGGCCAAGCCAGGCAGCCTTCACCTCAACGACATGTACGCACCCCCTGACTACGCCAGCAGTACGTACCCATCTGCCCTGTCCCTGGGCTGAAGCCCCTGCCCCTGGTTTCTGGAGGGGAAGAAGTGCATACCCCTTGTTAAGATGGAGAGAGAACGGAGGACTAGTGCTCAGGAGAACTGAGTCCACACCTTATAGCTGGTCCCTTGGACAAGTCCCTTTCACCTGTCTTTAGTTTCCGCTTTGGCAAAAAGGAGCTGAGCTAATGATATATGTGCTGCCTTCTTCATAGGCCTGCTGCAAGGTTCAAATGAGATCATGGACGAGAAAGCCCTTGGAAAACTGTATTAGGCTATAGAGATGTGAGGGATTATTATTAGTTACACCTCCAGTCATGCCTTTCTTTGTAGACTGCCTTGACTTCAGCTCTTTCTAAGACTCACAGGATTGAGCCCAGGATTCAGAAAGGGACTGTGGAGGAGGAATCCTTGGGGTGGAGTGGGGCAGAGAGGCCTGAGGAATCAGCAGCCCTTGGTGCTGAGGTGCATCTGAGGTGGGGTGTGAGAGACAGTCCTTGGGGACGAGAGGAAGGTACCTACGTGGAATGGTCTCTGAAATTTTCTCGCCCTTTCTTGATTCCAGCTTTTACTGCCTTGGCTGACAACCACATAAGCCATAATTCCAGCCTGGGTTATCTGGGGGCTGTGGAGAGCAAGGTCAGCTACCCTGCTCCTCCTCAGGTTCCCCCCGCCCGCTACTCTCCAATTCCCAGGCACATGCTGGCTGAGGAGGACTTCACCAGGTGAGACTATCCCACCCCCTATATAGGGGTGGGGAGGAGAGGAATCCGCTTCTGGCTGGCCACAGGCCTAGTGTAGTATGGCAAAGAAGAGGACAAGGCCCTCATCGCTCCCGTCTTTGGGGTCTGAGGCCCTCTCTCAACCCTTGGGGCCCTAAGAAGGAACAGAAGAGACTGCAGGGACAAGTTCTACCATCAGGGGGAGTGCCAAGTGTGTGGCCCCGATCCAAAGTGCAGAGAAAGGGTGGGGTGGAGTGTTTTGGGGACCGAGGAGGTGGAGACTGCGGGGGTTCCTGCCCTGAGACAGTTGCCGCCCCCTCTGCTGCAATCATGCCGAATTACAGAAGAAAGTCGCGCGGCCAGTGGGGTTGGGTGGGACGCAGGGAGGCTGGCGGGCCAGGTGGCTTCATAGGGACCGGCCCCGCCCCACTCTGGCGGCGGCCTCTGTGGAACTGGTCAAGCCGGCCAGGGTTCCGGGGGACAGGTTTGCCTTGGGGTGGGGCCTGCTAGGCTGCTAGGCTGGCTGCAGTGGGGCCCCGGAAGGATAGGCGGACGGGGGAGAACCGCAGGAGCCATGGAGAGGGCGCTCAAGTTCTCAGGCTCAGGCTTGGCCCAGGGCTTGGGCTCGGCCTCAGCCTCGGCCTGGAGGAGGGCTTCGCAGAGGTGGGCTTGGCCGCTCCGCTCCCTACGACCTGGAGGGGATGCCAGGTAGGAGGAGAGGAGGGCTTCGAGCAAGAATATCCGGGACTCACTGAGGAAGCCTAGGGCCTAGACCTGGAGCAAGAAAGGAGGAATCTTGGACTTGGGGCTTCTCTGATGAATGATGCTTAAAAGTGAATGTGGTGGGCCTGAAAGTGTGCTGGGAGTCTGTATATGGATATACCTGAGTGGCTGTTGCCCTCATCTGATGACACTGTGACCATTTACTGAGGGATTTCTTACACATGGTTAGTTGTAGTCCAGGTTTTCTATGTATTTGTTCCCTTGTTTCAGTTAGGCTCTTGTGCCCCCTTGGGGGACCTGGGAATTCTTTATCTCTGTCTCCCACATCACTTAGCCAGGGTGCATAGTAATTGGTGATTACATCTGTTATTGGGGAAGGTAGGAGGGGTCAGAGTTGGGGGTGGAATTTTAAAAGAGCAGAGGAGCATGGGGAAAGTAAGTATGTGCATTTTATGGATGGAGAGTGCAATCAACTCCAGAGTGATTCCACTGCTCCTAACTGGCTCCCCTTCTGTGGCCCCAGCTCCATCACACCAGTTGGTAGGATAGGAGAATCTGGGGAGGAAGAGGACCAGTGAATGGGCTCTGAACTATAGTGTTTAGAGTCCAGGCTAGGGCTTTGCTGACCTGAGAGAGTAGGGGACTGTCCACTGGGGAGCTGACTCCAAGCCCTCAGGAATAAGGGAGGGAAGAGGAACTGAAACTTGGCACCTGGCAGAAAACAGCAGCCAAGCAGGTTCTAGGAGAGAAAGGGAGGAACAGGGTATCATACATAGGGACTCAAGTCCTTCTGCAGTGATATGGGACTTGTTCCAGACAGGCCCTCTCCTCGTAGGGATGCCAGATAATATCTACCTTGTTCTGACCCTTCCACTGTTTTCCCACCAGAGAGCCCCGCAAGATCATCCTGCACAAGGGCTCCACAGGCCTGGGCTTCAACATCGTGGGAGGAGAGGATGGAGAAGGCATTTTTGTCTCCTTCATCCTGGCAGGAGGCCCAGCTGACCTGAGTGGGGAGCTGCGCAGGGGAGACCGGATCTTATCGGTGAGGAGACAAAGGCGAGGTGGGAGGATAGGAGCCGTGCCAGTCTAAAAGGGAGGAGAGGAGACCTTGCTTTCTCTAAGGAACACTTCTTGAGATGTATGAAAGGCTAAGAGCTGGAGAAAACTTATATTTTCTTTTGTATGTCTTTAGTGAGGGACAGGGACTGAGATGAGATTTATCCTTGAGGAGGAAATGAATGTTCCTTTTATCTTAACTCTGGTTGGCATTTGACCTCATAAAGATAATTACCACACTAGGGATGCCATATCCTTTATGTCTCCTCTTAGGGGCAAGGGTGGGATATTGAGAAAGGCATCTGAGTAGGCTTAGGGATGGGTACCCATCTCCCTGTCCTAACTGCTATGACATAGGACTCTTTCTTGCTTTAGGGGTGGCTCATAGCTCCTCTCTTTCAACAGGTGAATGGCGTCAACCTGAGGAATGCAACTCATGAGCAGGCTGCAGCTGCTCTGAAACGGGCTGGCCAGTCAGTCACCATTGTGGCCCAGTACAGACCGGAAGGTAGGAGAAGGAAGGAGGGGCAAGATAATTTGAGGAGTTTACACTTTCAAGTATCGGCCTTTTGCCATCATAGGCATCAAAGCCACTAGACCAGGTCCTTTCTGTTTTAGTGCAGTAACCTCTAGCTCTCTGGACAGGGGTAGGTTTGGGCAAGTCAGGGAGCATCTATGAAGGCTATACTCAGAACCTGCTGATCAGGGCTGCAGTACAACAGAAGGCCAGTAGTGGGCAGCAGCCTACGGGAGGAAGCACAGAGATTGGGGAGGCTGGAAAAAGGGGAGGGGAAGGAATGGGGCTCGGAGGGCTCAGAGACGAAGACACGGAACTGTGTGCCCTGGAACGGGAGGAGGGTAGCTTGGTTAGAAGTACTTCAGGGAGAAGTGATCCGACTTCTTAAGACATCTTGGGCCAAAGCTCTATGACCCCCCCCCCCCCATTTCCCTTCCCATATCAAGGTGACCATGAAAAACCCACAAACGCGCCGAAAAGGTGATGCCAAACCCTCGGGGTAGGGAATCAGGAGTGGACCCTCTCCCCCTACGAGGGCCTTCTTTGTGTTCTCAGAGAGCTTCTCTGGGCTGGGGCGAGTGGGCGGGGCCGGTTATGCAAATTAAGGCCTTTGATTGGCTGGGACCCACGGAGGCCCAGGTGCGGAGGTGAGCCTCTGGCCGGCAGGCGCGCCTGCCGGCCGGCAGAGTAGCCATTGGCTAGCCAAGCGAGGCCTCCAGCCGCACGCCCCTCCCCCTGACCCAGGCGGCGGGCGTCCCTCCTACCCCCTCACGCGCCTCAGGCGTCTCCTCCTCCTCCCTGCCGTCCCTCTCCCCCTCCTCCCCTCCTCTAGCGCGCCCCGCTTTGTGTCCGTGGTCTCCCGCGCGGGACGTAGGGGCAGCGGGAGCTGGCGCATTCTCAGCACTAGACCTGGACTCGGACCGGCGCCAGGTGAGGTGGGGCGGACGAGGGCGGGGGTCAGGTCCCCTCCCTGTCCGCCTGAGCCTCTCTACGATTCTGTTCTCTGACTCTCTTTTCCAACACTGCCCCCCCCCCTTTGTACTCTTCCCTCAGCCCCTGCGGGCACAGCTTGGGTCCCCTATTGGGGGTCCCTCCCGGGCCCAGGGGGCGACCCTCTCCCGTTCCCAGGCCCCTTCTGCGGCATCTCTTTGCCATCACCTCTCCCAGCCAGTTCTGCCCGCTTTGTGCCTCAGGGCCTCAGCCCTCCCATAGCAGCTCCCTAATCCCTAACCTCTGAGGAATTTTCTAAAGTGCCCCTCCCCCGCGCTCTTGAATTCACCAAACCCTGCTACCTCTGGGAACACCAGAGATAGACTTGGCCTTTTCAGGGCCCCCAACCCACGCTTTTGTTTGCACCGACTTCTTTTGCCTCCCCCTCCTCTTTGTTAGCCCAGCTTTTGTCTCTGAGGGCTGCAACTCTCAGGCTCTTCGGACATCTAGGCCCCATGGACCAGTTACTAAGGTGGAGGAAGGGACCTCTCCCGGGCAGGTGCGTTGGTTGCGTGATGAGAAAGGGAGAGGCTGGGAGCCCTATCCTCAAGCCCAGGGATCTAAAGCGCCTACCTTTGTCCTTTCCGCCCTCCCCCCACTCTGGTTCAGTACCTCCAGCCAAGAGCCTGAAGGGAAAGAAGAGAGGGGCCTGCACCTTCTGCACTAGTGTAGGGAGGTAACTAACAGGAGAGCTGGCTGGGTTGAGGTAATGGGAGAGATGCAGATGGACACTCTGAGTCATTTCTCTCCATGTTTGGTGTTCAGCTTAAAGATAAGAAACACACCTTAGGGTTATTGTTTTTATGATTTCTGTGTTTGCTGTTGGCTTCTTAGTGTAGAGCTAACCATCTGATTTTTATTAGCAACCGGTATGTATCCATTTCATGCCCACAACTTTGATAATGTAGGTTCTGCAAAGAAAATGGTTTTGTCGTGTGTGTGTGTGTGTGTGTGTGTGTGTGTGTGTGTAGGAGAAATTGATGTGTTTCTTTCAGTTTTGCTCTCTGATGTTTGGCACATGGAAACAATACTGTGAATTTGTCTGGTGGTAGGGTGTTGGAAACTGGTGACTACATATTTTTGTGAGTTTTGTTGGGGGAATGTAACTGGTTTCCATACAAAGCTGCAAGTTGTCCAGGGTAAAAGGATTCCTGCAGTGTTTATTGCTCTCAGACTATTTCTGAGAGTGTATAATGTATGTTGAGGTGCTGTCTTATGTTAGGTCTCTCTACCACTTGCTACACAAAGCCTTTCTTCTCTTAGGATTCAGTTGAGCCCCTGCTGTTAAAGCTCTGTCACCCCAATCTTCTTTCTTTGGTTTGGTAAATCCAACAGGATCCCAACATGCAAAAGCTCCTTTTTTTTCTCATTCAAAAATGAACCCTTGGAGACAGTCTATAGGGACTATCAAGCATTCTGTGTTGGGCTCTGAATTTTCTTTGATAAAGTGATAGTTTTTAAAAATATGGACTCCATGTTGATCATTTTATAAATATATTAAACACTGTTCATTAAAAGATTGTATCACATGGGCATTTACAAAATGAATAATCCAAACATATGTCTGTTGGCTAAAATGGCAGAGATCACATGTTATTGGCCAAGTAAGTGTTCATTTTTTTTTACATGGAATATGGAAGCTGGAAAGGATTATATAGTCCAAACTCTCATTGTGCAAACCGAAACAGCGACAGTAGCAGAGGGACTTGACTTGCCTAAGGTCATGAAAGGAAAGTTGCTGAGGGTCAGCAGTTAGGACCAATTGTGCTTGGGAATACCTGAGAGACCTAAGATCTAGCTAGAGCAGAGGAACACCTGGAAAGGAACTAGGGAAAGAGAGACAAGGGAAAGAGAATGAGGGAATGAGAGATGTATGTGCAAGGGAAGATTAATCTCCATTGTGGCTACTGAGGCAGCATTGCCAAATCAGTGTAGACTTTAGCTAGATACCCTTTAGTATAAGAGCTTTGAAAAAATAGCTTTGACTAATTAGAACAGAATAAGAACAATTCTTCCTTTTTAAATGGCTTAACTGAGATATAATTCACATACCATAAAATTCACCCATTTAGGTGTGCAACTCAGTGGCTTTTAGTGCATTCACAGAATTGTGCATCCATGGTCAGTCAATTTTAGAACATTTTCATTACTCCTCTCCTTTTAATACATAGAGAGGGTGCAATTATTGGAATTGCCTGGACATTTAGAGGCTGGATGGCAGCTCAGTGGAAATACTCTTAACTTTGAGATTTTTTTCATATATCTGGTTTGCTTAATGTAAACCCATAATGAAGATAGAAACTGTGGCTGTCTATTTGAACTTTGTACTGTGCCTAACATGGGTGCTTTACAAGTATTTTTATGATGGAGCTTTGGAAAATATTAAAATAGAAGTACTAAGTGATAAAAGTGCCACAGTGAGAGATGCTGTTTAATAGTTTCACTCCTGATTGCTCTAAACTGCCGTGGACACAGCAATCCTACCTATTAGCTAAAAATACCACTAGCATGATGTTCTTGGGCATGTATAATCCTGCTTTAAATTCAAATTGAAAATTTAAACAACTGGCTTTTGGCAAAGGCTCTTTTCCAATCTATTCTAAAATGAAAAATATTTTTCTGTGACTTGTGGAATTGCTCCACCAAGGGAAGGATGGGATTCATGTTAATACATTTTGATTTAGAAACTATCTCCTGTATTTTCTCCTCTAGTTACTTTGTGATAGCCTCTGTTTATAAACTGAACTAGTGTTTTTCTGGAAAGCCCTTTGTTTATAGAGTAGAACCTGAACCCTAAGTCAGGAGGTGAGCCAGAAATTGGTCACTAAGTTAGCTAAACTGGGAACTGATTCTTTGTGACCAATCTTTTCAACTGGAATGTAAATACAGAAAGGCTGGGGTTAACAGGGAGTAAGAGAGAATGAGAGTTTTCTATACTTATTTTAAAGTGCTGAATAAGCACACTTTCACTGTGGAAACATCTTCAGGTAAGGCCTGGAAGAGTTAAGAATCAGTGTTCATAATAACTTGAAAGTATAAAAGGGATATTTCCCCATAACTAATTAACCGTCAAGGATGTAAACATAGCTGCTACCCTATCAGTGAGATCTCTCTTGGGAGCACAGAGGTGAAAGTTTATAAAGGCAAAGAATAAAGTCTTGAACTGTCTGTTGCCGTCCTAAAAGAAGGCTAATGTGAGGAAGGAAGAAAATGAATGCCTGTTAACTGTTTCTATACCAGGGTTGGGCAAACTTTTTGACTCGAGGGCCACAATGGGTTCTTAAACTGGACCGGAGGGCCGGAACAAAAGCATGGATGGAGTGTTTGTGTGAACTAATATAAATTCAAAGTAAACATCATTACATAAAAGGGTACGGTCTTTTTTTTTTTTTTTTAGTTTTATTCATTTCAAACGGGCTGGATCCGGCCCTCGGGCCGTAGTTTGCCCACGGCTGTTCTATACTGAACAATTTGAAGGCAGCTGGTACTGTATTTATCTGTATCCCCAGCACCTAGTCCAAAGCATGGCTCGTGTTTTGTTGAGTATCTCTATGTTCCAGATGGCTTTGTAAGCATTTCGGATATCCCTGTGGGATAGACAGTATAATCCCCATTTTACAGATGAGGAAAATGAAGCTTAGAGAGGTTGAGAGACTTGCTCAAGGCCACACGGTCAGTAAGGGGCAGAATCAAAAATTGAAGTCAGGTTTTCTGAGAACTTTGGATCCCAGGCTTTTGCTACTAGGTCACAACTACCACCCACCATAGCAGAGAAGCTGTGAACCTCCCCCTCTATCTACCTAAATACATCTGGACATAGCAAAAGATACTGCTCTGAGACTCTTCAGGTGCCGGAAGCTGTTAGCAAATGGAGTAAAACCAACTCCCAAATGTCAGCTTTTTAGTCTTGATGGCTACCAACTCCTGCACCAAAGGAAGAAGTAACCTGGAGGTAGAGGGGCTACCAGAAGCCTGAGGGAGACCCCCTTCTCCTTCAAAAG